ATGGTGATCAGGTGGCTTCTTTGAAGGTGTTTCACATGCGGTCTTTGTCCGAGTGACAGTATGAAGTCTCTTGGCGGTGTTTCCATCATTTTCTTTTCATTCAGAGGGTGTTGTCGGTGTCTGTGACGGTGGTTTTGCCCTTTTTTTGTTGGCTCTTTTTGGACCGGCATCTCATGCCGAATTCTGTCACTTCTTATCGTGGGCTGTTGGTGGAGCCCCTTCAGCTTGCGTTCAGATTGTATGTCACTTCTGCCCCATTCTGCAGGCTCTCCCATGCATTTTTTCACCTCCGGTCTGTTCATGTGCTGCTTGGCCATCTTGGTCTTTGGGTTTTTGTTGGCTTTGGCCTCTAGGGGTCAGGTTGTGAACCATCTTGCTCTTCTCCAGTGCAGGGGTTTCTGCTCTTTTGGCCCTGGGTTTTTTTTTTGTGCATTTGCAGACTTCTCCTACTTTTCTAGCGAAGAATGAGATGGCTGGCTTTCGGAGAGGTTCATTGGTTGTGGTTGCTTGGTTGATGTCCGGTGGTGGCTTTACATCGCTACTTGCAGGCCACTGGTTTGGTATCCGTGGACACATTCTAGGTGAATCCGGTTTTCCTGGTTCCCTTTTCCAGGGCAATTGTTTCTCTAGTTGTGCACAGTGTAATCAAGTCTAGCCAGCATGTGGTCTACCCTTGTGCCCATTATGTGTGTAATTACCTAAGTGTAGTTACAGGATGAGAGCTACGCTCGTGGTGTCCCATCTTCCCAGCACTCTTTGTCATATAACACTTTGAAACTACTGACGGTCTTGGCCTCCACCACCTTCTCACCTAACTTGTTCCAACCGTCTACCACTCTGTTTGCGAAAGTGAATTTTCTTATATTTCTTCGGCATCTGTGTTTAGCTAGTTTAAATCTATGATCTCTTGTTCTTAAAGTTCCAGGTCTCAGGAAATCTTCCCTATTGGTTTTATTAATTCCTGTTACTATTTTGTATGTAGTGATCATATCACCTCCTCTTCTACTGTCTTCAAGTTTTGGCATGTTTAATGCCTCTAACCTCTCCTCGTAGCTCTTGCCTTTCAGTTCTGGGAGCCACTTAGTAGCATGTCTTTGCACCTTTTCCAGTTTGTCGATGTGCTTCTTAAGATATGGGTACCACACAACCGCTGCATATTCTAGCTTTGGCCTAACAAAAGTCGTGAACAATTTCTTTAGTTCGTTAGTGTGAGTGAAAGTGAGAGTGAGAGAGAGAGAGAGAGAGAGAGAGAGAGAGAGAGAGAGAGAGAGAGAGAGAGAGAGAGAGAGAGAGAGAGAGAGAGAGAGAGAGAGAGAGAGAGAGAGAGAGAGAGAGAGAGAGAGAGAGTGAGTGAGTGAGTGAGTGACACAAATACTTTTATGACTAGGTACAAAGACAATTTGCAACAAACATTCATCACCAGTAGAGGGTTTGTATTGGTTAACCTGTCTTTCTGGGTGCTTTCCCTGGTCGATGGCAGGAAATGACATACTCTAACTGTAGAGTGGTCATATGGCCATTTCTCCCTGGCCATATTCAGAACATTAGGCATTCAGAACTCCAGGGACTGATGACACCCAACTAATCTGGCATATGTCAGTTTGAATAGCTTCAGGGAGCCTCTGGGGCTCAACTAGAAAATGACATTTCATTACACTCAAAGCTAGTTTTTTACCGAGTCCCATACAAGAGGTTGTTCCGGAACCTGGAATAGTTTGGAAGGTTGACAGGGAAGACTATACATAGATGAAAAAATTTCTGACAGAAAAGCAAGGGTGGTAATCAAAGGCAATGTATTAGACAAAATGTAACTAGTTTAGTACCACAGAGCTCAGTTCGAGCACCAGTAATGTTCATTGTCTATATAAATGACCTATCAAAGGGAATACAGAATTATATGAATATGTTTGCTGATGTTGCTAAGCTATTTGGGAGGATAAGAGACTCAGACAATTGTCATGTCCTTCAAGATGACCTGGACAAAATAAGTGTATGGAGCAATACTTAGTAGATGGAATTCAACGTGAATAAATACCACATTATGGAATGTGGAATAAGATAAAACAGGCCACACACAACCTACAAATTATGTGAAGAGGCTTTGAAGAACTCAAGAGAAAGAGATCTTGGAGTGAACTTTCCTTATTAAGACTACTCAATAGCTCGGTTGATAAAGCTTCGACCTCACAAGTGTGGGGTCCGTGGTTTGAGTCTCCTAGAGCCCACATGAATGGAAGATCTTGGAGTGTTTATTGATAGAAAACTGTCACCTAAGGACCACATAAATGACATGTGAGGAGCATTTGATGCACTTTCCAACTTCACGATCACTTTTAAATACATGGTGACATATTAAAGAAATTGTTCATGACCATTGTGACACCAAAATTGAAATATGCAGCGATTGTATGGTGCCCATATCGTCCTACCTGACTCTGCCAGCAGCATGTAATGAGCTTCCTCGTCTCACCCTATCACTACACTGTCGTACCATTTCTAACATGTGACTGCTGTAACCAAACTATATTACATAAACATAAAAAAAAAATCATGCTCTTTGAATGTTGTCACCCAAAATCGTACTAGTTACACAATCTTCTCTGTTCTACACATCTGGAGTTTTTGATGCAGGCCTATTGCCATTTATATGGCAAGCAGGTGACTGGGTTATTGGTGTCCCACCTGTGTCTAATTTTTCGTGGGCTGTATGAAGTTGCCTGGTACTTGTTTTGCCCCCGTCTGTCTCTTCATTGTCTTCAGTTTCGGTCAGGGTGATTCTATCCCTTTTGTCTTAGTTGTTTTTAGGTCAGCATTTCATGCTTAATACTGTCGCTTCTTATTGCTCAGCATTGGCCAAGCCGCTGTTGTCTGCATTCAGCATTGCCTCTTTCTTGGTGCAATTCCACACGTTTTTTCATCTCTGGCCAGCTCTTGCTCCCGAGCCATCCTGGTCTCTTAACTGAGTGTTGGTCTTCCTCTCTTTGCCAAATTTTACAGTTTCCATTTTGGCTCATAATATGTTCTCAAAGTTGTGTGTTTGTTGGCTCTCGCCTCCGACTGTAGGGTTGGGAGCTTTAGGCTCTTCCCCCAAAGATGGGGATTTTGCTCCTTTGGCCCTGGTGGGAAGTTTCTTTGCTGCCTTCTCCTTTTCTAGTAAAGAATGCATCAGCCCTTTTGGAGGGTTTGTTGGTGATTGATGCTTGGTTGGTCTGGGCAGGGGGCGCATCAATTTTTGTGTCCAGTAATATCTCTTTGCCGCTACCCTGTGGGTCACTGGTTCTACCACAGTGGATGCCTTGTTGGTTGAACCCCGTTTCTTTGGTTCCCTGTTCGAAAGGTCATATTTTGCAGGTCATTCACAATGTCATCAAATCTATCCAGCTTGTAGTATACCTTCAGGCTCGTGATGTTTGCAAGTACACTGAGTTGGCCGCAGTTGTCTCCAACATATCCTGGGTTAATATTTGGGTTTTGGGGTTCTAACATGGTTCTTGGAGCCCAGTAATGTATTTGGTTAATGTCCCTGGTCCGAGTCACTCGTGTTGTTTTGGGTCGAGTCTTCTGGCCTGGATTCTCTTTTTTTTGTCCTAGTGCATGCCACCACCTCCTCCTCCTCCCTGGTAAGTCTTGCATATGTTCTCTGTGGTTAGTTAGCTTCAGAGAGCCTATGGGGGCTCTCCCAGAACCAAGCATTGAATGTAATGAAATTGCTCTTTCTGGATATTCCTCGATTGCTCCCCGACTTCCTCCTTCCCTCCCTACCAGGTTAGTTGGTTCATTAGTGTGCTGTTCATCAGCTCCATAACTGGCTAGTAAGATGGCTGTTTAATTATCTAGGTGTAGTTACAGGATGAGAGCTATGCTCATGGTGTCCTGTCTTCCCAGTACTCTTTGTCATATAATGCTTTGAAACTACAGTACTGACGGTTTTGTCCTCCACCACCTTCACATTTAATTTGTTCCAACCAACTACCACTTTACTTGCAAAAGAAAACTTTTTAATATTTTTTGGCACCTTTGTTTCCTTAGCTTGAATCTGTGTCCTCTTGTTCATGAAGTTGATTGTTTCAGGAATTTCTCTTTGTCAATTTTGTAGATTCCTATTAGTATTTTGTAAGTGGTGATATGCACCTCTTTTTCTTCTATCTTCTAGTTTGGCATGTTTAAAACCTCTAGTCTCTCCTTGTAACTCTTTGTTTTTCAGCTCCAGAAGCCATTTTGTAGCATACTGTATTTCTGCACTTTTTCTAGTTTATTTATGTGCTTCTTGAGATATGGGCACCATACAACTGCTGCATATTCTAATTTTGGTCTCACAAAAGTCATGAACAGTTTCTTTAGTATTTCGCCATCCATATAATTAAAATGCAGAAGCCTTGTCACCTGGTGGTGGCATTTGGTATTATGTTTTTCACACTAATTTTTAATATTTCTCTTGTTCTGTGTGAATAGTTTGTGGAGTTGTTTGGCACTTTCGAGGATTTGGTCTGTTATCCCTTCAGTTGTCTGTAAAGCTTCACTGACTTTCTGGATGCTTTCCTGGTTGGGTGGTTGAGTGTCACTTGCTCTCTGTACCTGTATAAAGGGGGCCAGGGGGTTTGGCTCGGGTGCCTGGTAGGCCAAACACAACTCCCACTTGCACGGAGCCATCTCAGTGAGATAGCTTCAGGGAGTCACTGGGGCTCATCCAGAAAGACACATTTCATTACAGTTAATGCTTGCTGTTTCATTCATTGAATAGTAAACATATGGAACAGCTTACCAAGTGATATAATTTAGAGTAATGCCATTTATACATCTGAAAATAGATTATATAATTATAGTACAGTACTTCTCTTTAAATACACAATTTATACTGTATTTACCACACTAAGTTTTCAGTATATACAAGCAGTCTAATTTTGATGTAATGGTGTGTTGCTGTTTGAATTCCTTTGTAATCTTTTAAATACATACCAACAACATAATCAAATAAGATAAAGAATAATGTTTTAGCTTACATTACTTTTGAAAATACTTCTCATCTACAGTGTTGAGCTGCTCTTATTTGACAATGAACATCAGACACTATCAGTAGGCTACAGTTTTATCTTTTAACATGGTACACATACCAACCTCTTGATAAGATAATGATAAGCCAGGTATACCTTACTGATGCTGGATTGAGTCAAATATTTTTATATAACAATTATATACAGTATTTTGGTACAGTATTTATAACATTTATATTAACCAATATTCTTTATTTGAAGTTTATTTAGCTAATTTTCTTTGTCTTTGTACTTCTTACATAGATGCCCATATGAAATTATCAGAGATGAAGTAAGGAGGCATTTGCTGGAGCAGTCAATAACTAATGCTTTTGACTAGAAGAAATTTTACCATGGATACTAAGAGAGGAAGGAAGCTGAATCTCTATGCTGACTGCTTACTATGATATACTGTATAACAAGTCACTGGAAGCAGGAGACTTACCAGAAAATTGGATGACAGATAACGTAGTGCTAATATACAAAGGAGACAGACTGGGGTTGCTAAACCACCTTATCCCTTACCTTCATGCCATGCAACGTGATTAAGACCATAAGATAGAGGCTAGTGGTACATCTGAAGAGAAGAACCATAATAATGCATTACCAACATTGATTCAGGGATTGCAAATCTTTCTTTACAATTTTTAGGGAATTTTTGTGAATGAGCAGAGAAAACCAAGTACTGTACTGCATGTTGGGATGATTGGATATTTTTGGACTGGTAGAAAACCCTCAGCACAGTAAACCACACGAGACAAGCGTACAAGTTGGAAAAACAAGCAAGTGTGGCAGGTAAAGTATACTCCAGCAGAAAAGGGAGTATCTAAGTAGCAACAGACATAAAAATACAATAAGAAGAGAGATTTCAGAATGGTAGTATGTTACTACCAATCCCAGTGATGACTACTAGGACCTGTCATGTTCCTGAATGCTCTAAGGCCCTTAACTTACTTAGTCTTGTCCTGTACATCCTGGAGAACTGATACACATTCCTTTATTTATTCTCCTCTCTTGTGCTGTCTAAACTCTATTATGGCTGCCCCACCTATTCCTCTGCCTCTCTCGACCCTTCATCATCTTAATGCTTAGCAATATACTGAGTTATGCTCCAGCTCTGGTGCCCTTCATTTGTCCCCCACCCAGAGCTTGTACGTCAAAACTAGCATCCTGTCTCTACAGGATTGTCATGATTGTTACCACCTTCATTACTTTGTGCAGTCCCTGCAACATACCAGCTCCCACTTCTGCCGTGCTTTGACCATCATCCCTTAGGATGGACCTGTTCCCTTTCACCACCTCTCTTTTCCAGCAAGGGTGGTTCATTTGCAACCTCTTCCCCCTGTGTTGTTCATACCATGCCCCCCCCCCCCATAGTCTCATTTGTGAAATTTTGCAAGACGCTGACCACATGATAAAAGCTTATGCCCCAACTGTTTTGAGCAGCCTTTTCCTTTAACTTTTCCTCTGACACTCCATTGTTCTGTTCATTGATGGGTCAAAGTCTACCTATGGTGTTAGCTACTCATTTGTTTTCCCTGATCAAACCTGTATGTGCCGTCTGCCAACAGAGACTAGTATCTTGACAGTGGAACTTTACGCAATTTTGTATGCTCTTCTTTGTCTGTTTTTCTGTGGGAAGCCCTGTCAGCTCCCTAAAGCTATCCAAACTGACATGTGCCATATTAGTTTGGTGTCATCAGTTTCTGGAGTTCTGTGTTCCTACCGGAGATCAGAGTCAGAACCTGGTCCACTCAGAGAGGCACAGGGAGCAATGGCCATATAAGCACTCAACAATTAGAGTTTGTCATGTCTGTCATCAACCGGGGATACCACCAAAAAGGTAGGCAAAACAATACAAATCTCTAGCTGTTAAAATTGCAGCCTACATCCAAACAGAGCCAAAGAAATCCCCCCAAAAGAAAACAATGAACAAGCAAAACGTCATCCAACTACAGCACCCGCTCGTTAGTGCCCCCTCCTCCCCATCAGGGGGTATGGGATCCCGCTCAGGCGAGTCAGCTACGCCACCCCTCAGTTCGTTGACTAATGTTTTTGGCTTCGAGGCAAATTCCTTGGCCTCGAATTACTGGCTGGCTTTGGCGTTTGTGGGTTTGCCAGCTTTGTGTGGTGTGATGGCCAGGAGTTCTCTGGTACACCAGGCTGCATGCACCTAGGGCTATCTTCCCTAGGTGCCCGATAAGTACTTTCCTTGCTTATCAGGGTTATCTTCCCTGGGACGTTCGGGTCTCACTCCCGTTTGAGGACTTCGTTGCTTGGCGTTGTTCCAGCCCTTGAAGTCCGTTGGTGGTCTTGGGCTTCCAATCTTGCCCTGAATCAGGAGTGGGTTTTTGCTGGATGGGGCGCATTGCGGCTGACTATTCTCTCTGGGGGGACCGGTTGGTTGTGTGTATTGCTTCGGGGGCTTTTTGTTTTTTGTTTTGTTTTATTTGGGTGTATTAGCTTACTTTTGGCAGAGGTGGTTTGCCCAGCTTCCCATTAGGCTAGCCTAGGTTGTGTTGGTGGTCCTCCTCTGTTGCCCCAAGGTTTCACAGTGACCTGCAGCTGTCATTTTGCCTGCAAAAGATAGGGTTTACTGGCTCCAGTGCCTGGGCTTCCCGTAGGGCTAATGTACCCTTAGTGTAATGTACCAGTTGACTCCTAAGGAGCCTGACAGCTGAGAGGACAGCCCTCGGGATTCGTAGTCCTGAGATTCCAGGTTCGATCCCTGGTGGAGGCAGGAACAAATGGGCAGTTTCTTTCACTCTGATGTACCTGTTCACCTAGCAGTAAATAGGTACCTGGGCCGTGGGGACACTAAGCCCTGAAATCATCTCAAGATAACCACAAGATAACCCTACAGGCCCTGGAAAACCCCATTGGACTTGGGAGTACCATGCATGTGTCTTCCGACCCCCGTCTCACCTTGTGCGATGCGGAAGGTTGTTTGTTGCCTCTGCTTCACAGTGACGATCTTCCATCCTGCCTCCGTCATGTTGTCCATCCTGCTGCCTGTTGGGTCGGTGACACCTACGACCCCTAGTCTTGCGGGCTTTGTTCTCCGCTTGTTATTCAGTTTACCCATTCCTTGTCTGAGAATGTTAGGGGTCAGGCAGTGGTTTTGTTGCATGCTAAGTATTCTTTGTTGCAACGAGCCAAGGGGGTTGCCCAGTTGGAAGCCCCGGAGCTGTCCTGCTTGGGTTTTAGGGACCAGGATTTAGGGGTGTTGGTTAGTTCAACTGTGGTTCAGTTCACGCCCTTGCTTCCTTTGCAGGTGGGTGTGGTTTGCCCTGCTTCTCTACCTCCCCACCTGCTTCTGGCTCCCGAACGTCTGAGGCTTTCAGGGCCGGGTCAAGGTTTCGCATGGGATGAGGCTCGGGTAGCTTCTGGGATTGCCCTTTATAACTCAGGGACAAAGGTTGAGCCCAATTTCCCCACCGAGGCTTTGGAGTCGGCTCAGCAGGCTTCTTTCTTTGAAGCTTTTTCCCAGGACTCCGCCTTTTCTTCAAGGGTGGTGGGCTTGGATGAGGGGTCTGCCCCCACGGCATGGTTCCCGGATCTCGGGGGAAGTCCACATGGAGTGCCTGGGCTCATTTTGATCCTGCTTGAGCCTTTGTGCCTTCTGGGCAGGGTTTACTGTTGCAGAACTGGGAAATTTCTTATCCTCTGTCCCTGTATGAATTTGAGTTGGGTGCACCCCCCTCCCCTGGTTTATTTCCAGGTACCTTTGAGCTCCTCGGATACATCCTTTCGGAGGTTTCTTTCCTCTCGGATTTTCCCCGCGGAGGATCAAGAGGCCCTTGGTGCTTACTTTTTGCGAGACCCGGTTTGTTTATGCCTCTATAATGGACCCGTCTTCATTTGTTCTTCTTCCCAGTATTTGGTGCATTACATGGTTGCAGAGTCTTCCTGGCTGGCGGACTGCCCTTCTTTTTGGGAGCTTGGCGCGGGGTTTTGTCGAACTCGCACTCTTGAGTGGAGGGAGGTTTCTTCTGCAGGTGTTCTTGGGGTGCTCATTGGAGTTCCTCAATGAGTGCCTCTTTACCCTGCACTTTCCCGTGATGTGGGTCTGGTGCAGAACCACTCTCAGGTCCCCTCTCTTTCGGCTGCCTTGGCAGCAGATGACTATTGAACTTGCGGTCATTTGGCTTCTGTCTTGAGCTTCTTCGGTTTGCTGGAGCTGTCCTCGGAGCTCGGAGCTGTCCTTTCGGAGGATGTGGAGTGGGAGCTTTTGGCCGGGGTTCTGGTTTCGGTTGTCGCGGCGTTGGCTGTCCTGCTGAAGCTGTTTGTGCCGATCCACTGTGAGGCAGTGTCTTATGTTTTTTACCTCTTGTCTCGCATGTCGGCAGGCCTTCCTCGCACTCTCTTTAGATTAAGCTTGGGGACCTGGTTTTACAGTCTTCATCTCCATTCTGTCCCCTGCTATTTCCCGAGGACTGTGTTGCTCAGTTTCTATTGGCGGCTTCTACTAGTTGCCGTCCCATTTCTTATTTGTTGGTACTCAAGGAGGGAGGGGGGGGGGGTTTCTCGCTCCTCTCAGTTGTTTGTGCTAGGGTTCGGGCTTTGGTAATTTGAGGTGAGCCTTTGGTGCCAGTTTTGGAGCTAGTGTGTCCTCCAGGGCCTTCTTTGTCTAGTCAGCGCAGTGGTCGCTCTGTGCGGAAGTCAGCTCAGAGGTCGCGTCAGCCCTTTCGCAGGGCAATGTGGGGAAGGCTGGCTCTCTTTGCCCAGGCCTGGTCCCGCAATTCGTGGGCTTATCAGTTCATTTCTTCTAGCCTTTGGTGGCGTTGGGCAGCTCCTCCTGTTGGGGCTTCAGGGCTGGCAGGGCAGGCTTCTTCCCCATCTCTATGTGGGGTCATCTTGGAGTGACCCGTCTGTCTGAACAAGTCTGAATCATTTGATTCCTTGCCCCCTCCTTTCAGATGACTATGTTGTCCAAGGTCCAGCTTCTTCTCAAGCCAAGTGCTTGAATGATTTCTCTGGACCTCAAGGACGCTTATTAGTATGTTCCTATTCATCCAGGGTTCAAGCATTGGTTAGGTTTCATGGTCGGGTATCATGCTGACCATTTTCATTACCTTCCATTTGGTCTGAATCTAGCACCTCACAA